TTAAAGTGAACTTATTGACACCAATTATACTTAAGTGAAAAGTTACTAAATAAAACCACATTGATTGCAGTGTGAAATATAACTAAGTCTGGACTTAATCCACTATTTAAAAGAAAATATTAAAAATGGGTAGGAAAGATGATAATGCATCACTGGTAGAAAATTACATCTAATAAGGAAATAGAAGCTTTAGTTCATATGTATGCAGTATACACATGTGTATAAGATACACACTGCTGCTCTTAAAGCTGCTTGCTTAAAAAGATAAGTTAATATCTATATTTCTCTTTTTAAAAAGAGTTTACCTAGTTGCATTGGACAAAATACAACTCCATTGTTTTAACTATAAAACGGAAAGAAGAACAGATAGCCTTTATCCAGATGAACACCATTCTCAGTACAAAGTATATTCTTATGCTCATTAGCTTATAGCTATGCCTCCATATGCAATTAAGAATGCAGTAGAAGCTCTTTTTTTTTAATCAGGCATTTAAAAATATAAAATGTTGTATTATATCATAGTCTATTTAGTTTATCTTTCTGTCCTCATAATGGATAACCAGATGTGTATTGGAAATCCACAAGCAGAACATGAATTAAAGAGGACCTCACATATGTGTTTTCCAGCTACTAGTACTGGGAGGTATTATGCTATATAATTGAAAGGAACATATAGCATCATAATTAGATTTTTTTCACAATTTCTACATTTTGGATTAGTATTTTCATCAAACCATCCACCTAAGATATATTTTCTAATTAATCACCACCAGAGTCATAAATAAGAAGTTAGGATTTCATTTTGTTTTAATAACGTACCCTTTTTAAAACAGGTTTGTATTTGCTGTATTAATGGTGATTCCCTACTTTGGAGAGATTTATAACTCTTGTTTTCCTTCTTTGTTGTAGTCACCTATTAAATCATTTGATGTCATTAACAACCTTGGCCAATTCATAACTCCTCACTTCATTCACATTCAAGTTAGGTTAATTTCAATGGGGAAATCCCATATTTAATCTGCTTGCTCCAAGAAGATTCCTATTGTCCTATTCTTCATTTCTGTTCTTTAATCGCTTACAGATTTCTAATCTTAATCCCATGACTACTAAATTTGTTCAGAAGTAGGTGATGAGAATCAAGATCCTTTGGAAAGGCTATGTAAGCAATGTCTACTGATTTACCTCTTCAATAAGTTTGTTGATATTTTCAAAAGACTTTGAGAGATAGGATTTACCTTTGTAGGTACCACACTGGGACTTTTTCAGCAAAAGGTGCCCTTCTATATAGTTGTAACTTTCCACCAGCTTCATTAAACAGTTAAACAACCATTAAGTTAACCAACCAACCAGTATTTCTTTCTTGAAGCAGCCATGCTCCCCCGATAGAGTGAATCTAGTATCTTCAACTATACTTTTGTCCTTAAAAGACACAAGACCAACATATTGTCAGGAATTGGTTTCATTGGTTTAAAACCCATTAAATTATTCAACTAATAATAACTAATAAGACTAATAAGTCTTCCTCTGATGACTGGATGGGAAGCCATTCAGGTATCCTATTTGCACTACTGGGTTCCATAAAGGAACAGTGAAATATACTATCTAAATACACAAGCTAATACTTCAGTCTATAATTTTTTTCACTGTTTCCTTAGCAGTCAACAAGCTTGTGCAACGTAAGTTATTAAACAAATTAGGCATTCTGCAATTTCAAAGAGACCTTGCATGTCTAAGACAAGGCAGGAGTTGTGTGCTAATGAACAGGGCCTTATATCTTCCTGCAGTAATCATTACATTAAAGATGTTGTTTTAGATGCATAATGTTACAATTTCAAGTCTTAGATTTTCCTGATAAGTTTTTACGCTGTAGCTTCCCTTCCATGAAAACCATCACAGTTAAAGGCAAATCATTTCTGGCAGCAAGCACTAAAGGCCATATTTATTGCTACTGGATTTTGCTTAGTGAAGCAGCCAATGATAATACATCCAAGTCACAGTAAATGTCATGTGACTTCTACTTACAGAAATCCTGCTTAGTTTCTTAGAAAGAAGCTCTCAGAAACTATATATAACATAAATCACATTAATGTGATAGAAAACAAGGGTTTGTTGCCAGATGCTAAAAAGTATATACACTATAGCAGAGTCAGTGCTCCAGTTTAAATATTAAAAGATAAAACTATTACACAAACTGCTTACATGAAGATAACCAACATTCACTATACTTAAAATGTGCATTAAGATTTGTCAGTTAAGGTAACAAACATTTTTGTCAAGGGAAGATATCCAATAAAGTGAAGAAAGGGCTAAGATATAAAATAGCTATTCCTGAATTATTCAAAGTTCTTCAAATTAAAAATTGTGTCTAAAATTTCTTAGAGAAGAATTCTCTTACAAAATTAGGAAAAATAGGAGAGTTGTATAATGTAATGTAGAGGATTATAAAGAATGCATACAAGCTTGGACTCAAAATCCAGTGCAAAATCCAAACATCTGTCTACCATTTTCATCACCAAAACAGAACAAAATGTAACCCACTAAAACGAAACATCAGAAAGAAATGAGGAAGCTCTGAGAAGGACACATAAGTTGCATTATTTGAACTGCAGTGTTTGCTACTACAGAACATCTCCACCGTAATTCTCTTTGCAAATTAAACTATAGGAGTTGACATTTGCCTGGCTAAAGGTTATATTATATTGGCTTCCAAGATATCTGAGGCCAATAGATCTTATATATAACATTTATTCTGTGATTCAACCCTTACAATTCAGATTTTTTTTCAGCAATTTCATTTTCAAACTATGAAATGATATTTTTACACTTCCAACTGCCACTCCCCCATACATTTATAGCCAATCTCTATAAATTTATTTATAAAGAAACTTCCCTGATGCTATATCATCCACCTGCTTACCTGTGCAAATATCTACAGTATTTAACTCAAGCAGATTTATATTTGAGTAATCATGTATCAGACTACACTATGAGCTAAGTGGGACTTAATTCCTGAGAGAAATTGTAGACCTTTACTAACGAAGCCTTAAATTGTGTCAACAACTGATTCTAATTCCCTCTTGTCATTCAGACGTACCCAATTCAGATAACAATTACAGGGTGTTAAGCATTAAGGACATAATGTCAAACAAGTGAAAGGGGAGGCAGCTCTTCATCCTTTCTCATGGCATTACAGGTAGACCTCAACTTATGACCACAATTGGGACTGGAACATCCATCGCTAAGCAATGTGATCATTAAGTGAGTCACGCCTGATTTTGTTGTGGTTTTTAAGTAAATCACTGGTCGTTAAGTGAACCACGCAGTCGTTAAGCAAATTCGGCTTCCCTGATTGACTTAGCTGGTCAGAAGCCCCCTGGGAAGTGATGCAACCATCGTAAATACATGCTGGTTGCCAAGCGCCCGAATTTTATTCAGCTAAATAGTCTGCCTCTGATGACTGGATGGGAAGTGATGTGACCACGGGAACGCTGTGATGGTCATAAGTGTGAGGATTGGTCGTAAGTTACATTTTTCAGCATCACTGTAACTTTGAGCAGTGGTTAAACTAATGGTCATAAGTCTAAGACTACCTGTATTCAGATCAGCATGTATACATTTGGATAAATAAAAAATGCATCTGTTGACTCTTGATACCTATTAATTATATTCACACAAGTATACATTTGAATATAATTTGTATAAAAGTGTCAGTCCTATATAACTGGATCTGATATTTTTCTGCTTCTACTGCACTATGAATTCCATAATCTTTTACAACCTATTAACTATCACAGCACAAGAGGTCCAAAAGCTGGAAAAAGTCATTAAAAAAATCACTCAAGAATGCATTCCCAAATTCTACTAGATCATATGGAACATCACACTTCACATCATGAAGTCTGCAGAAATGAGGAAAGCTGGGAGAGGAACTATTGATTGTGTTTAAAGAGAACAGTTGTGAAATGGATTTTGCTTGGGAATCGAGGAATTATATTCTTATTTACAGATCCTTGCAGGCAGATTACCTTTGTTGTTTTTGAGAGCTTGGTGGCTGCTTTATGACCACAGAACATAATTTGAGTCCTAAGAGTAGAACCTGGTATCCAAACAGGCCCACCTAAATTCAGCATAATCCCTCAGATTTAGATTACTTGCTGTATCCTAGCCCTGCCTCTAGGAATATCCCTTCCTTGCGAAAGACAGGAAGTTTAATAAGTTTCACCGGCTCAAAGCTGCGACCTCCCCCAACCTCTTAAAATAACATCCACAACAGAAAGAAGTGAAATAAGTAACTACCCTGGGAAAAGAAACCAAGGCATTCAGTGGCGTCGCTGCTGTCAGGAAGGGAAGTGAACGCAGTGACTAAACCTAACACCCAAGATACTGGGTGGGGAAGGGAAAAAGAGAGAAATGCCCACACATGGCTTCATTCGAAGAGATGGAGAATAGCAACTCCCGTTGCTGCTGTCGCTCGCCCGCCCGCCCGCCGCAACTCACAAGTGGGTAGCAATGGGGAAAGCATCCAGTTCTCCCCCGCCCCGCCAGCCCCAAGCCCCCCTCCCAAACTTGGAGGAGGTACTCCTTTCTGCTCTTAGTCATCCCAAAGAAAGCCAAAAGACTGCGCCGCCGCGTCTCGATCCCATCCTCCGCGGAGGCTCGGAACCAAGAAACAGTTTGAGAGGAAGCCAAGCGAGCACCCTCAGCTCGCCAACCGGTGAAAAGCCCAAGACAGCGGCCGGTCCGGTTGGTCCACCCCCACTCCCAGAGAGGGAGACACTAGTTGATTTCTCGCGGCCAGGCAAGACTCGAAAGTGTAACAAGTCTGGCGCAGTCCGGTCCACTCCTGCCGCCGCCGCTTCGGCCACAGTTCCCCAGGAGTTAGGGCGGTCCGGGCTGCGGGAAGCGCGGCAGGAGGATCGGGCTAACCCCAAGCGGCCCAGACTTGACGGTGGCTTGCTTTCTTTTTCTAGCCACTGCCACCCAGCCGGCGGTTCTCTCACCTCCTTCAGCTCCTTGGCCACGTCCTTCAGGTCCCCCAGGACTAATTCCAAATCGTCCACGATTATCTTGATCTGTTCCTTCACCTTGGCTTTGGAGGCTGGCGGCACCCCTTCGGCTGGAGAGGACACGGACGAGGAGGTGGCGGAGGAGGAGGATGTGGTCCCCTTAGACTTGGCTGACATTCTTTGGGGGAGCGCCGGGAGGGGGGAAAAGGACGGCAGGCAGGTCAGGAGAGCCGACTTGCCACGAGCGATGGACGACACTGCCGGTCCCCGTCCCTCTTTCGAGCCCCGGAGCTGCTGAAGCCGCTGCCTCTGCTCTGCCTGCACATCTTGGGCTCCGGTACCCGGGGCGCTGCGCTCCCGGCGCGCGCCGG